ATATCTGTATGACATTATATTCTGCAGTTCTTCCCTGTTGTACCGAATATCTATACTTTTCAAATGATCATATCGAAGTTAGAAATTCAAATATTGTGACAAAATTAATTTTGTAGGGTGCCACAAGTTTGTTAAAATTTCCAAAGGGTGCCGCGACTAAAAAAAGGTTGGGAAACACTGCCATAGATGTCTATTGTTTTTATATAAAGCTAGTTGTAATTACTACAGTCTAACCCAAACCCACAGCCTAACCTGCATCTCAAAGATTTTTTTTAAACATATACACACATATATAGATATACATACATACATACATATATATATATATATAATTTTTATAATTTATATAATATAAAAAAATATTGAAATGCCATTGAGAAAGCATGTAAAACTAATGTGTAATCATTTAGCAAAGACCTAATTGTTAATTTTTATTTCATTAATTTCCTGGTACATCAATACTAATATTTCCAGCTCCCATCACATTCTGTAAAATTGTGTTCAATTATTTGAAGTCATTAACGCCCTCTGCTGGTTATAATGAGAATATGCAGTCTAGTGATGAATCGCAGGACAAAAAACACAACAAACTTGTAAAAAAGTCCATGTTCAGTTCGTGTTCCTTTTATTATAAGGGCTGTACAGCTATAATGTTGGTCTTTAAAATTGAATTGAGGAGGCGTGGTTTATTCAGCGATCGCCCGAGAGTAAATCAGTTCAGTTCGGGAACGGCAGAGTGAAAGTAGTGGTCCTGCAATCTCACCTGTAAAGCAGCAAAATAAGGTGGCTTAAAGTCTCTTTCTGCAGCGCCTTCACTTTGTGAACTGCAGGGGAGAATATTGTAATCTCGATTGGCCGTGGATGGGGTTTATATTGTAATCTTGATTGGCCGTGGATGGGGTTTAATTATCTCAAACTTCTCACGGAAGTTTAGTTTGTGATGATTCTTGAATGTGCGTCATTGGAAAACAACCATTTTCGAGAGTCATACAGATCAACAGGATAAATATTCAGTAATACACATCATAGACTTATATACACTGGTATTTGTCATCTCTGAGGATTCATCGTGCATCAGAGGACCTGGGACTGCAGCCTAAAGACCATTTTCATATCGCTATCCTGACATCGGACGTCTTAAAGGGACTGTAGAGACCAACATAGACTGTTGAAATAATTGGTTTTCACTACCTAATTGTGAAACCAGCTGACAAATGTATCCTTAAAGCTCGCATCTGTCGAAATAATTGCTTTATTTGTTTATTGTTTGCGCAGGCCTACGCACTTTATATGGATGTTTTCTTTGCATTATTGTGATTTCTTTGATTGTGAATATGTACACAGTGTATATGATTATTGCTATTCAACATCTTAAAAGAGTACATTAGTACAACTGACTGCTCTTCATTTCTCTCCTGGTCATTGGACATCCACTGTGGTAATCGACCCTCTGAGGATGGCACTGTAATAGTAATTGGTGCAATACAGTTCCTTTCAAACAAAACTACTTCAGAAATATTTCATGCATAGTTTGCGTATCTGTATTATTCTTCCCCAAATGGTCTCTATTTTGTTAAGATGGAAATTGTAAGTCTTAAGGCTGATCGTTTCAGTGATAGAAGAGTTAGTAACAGTCAGAAGTCAGATCAGAAATGTCATTAATCATGAGATTTATTAGATATCTTCACAAAACCAGAAAGTGTTTGAGACTTTTTATTCAGAAGAAATATATATATTTTTTTTATTATTTTGTATTTTACAAAGTCAATAACTTATTGGGTAGATTAGGTACATCACACAAGTCTCTAACATGCACAGCAACAGACATTACACCAAAAGGCCACGATCAAATCTTTATTCTATGTGACAAATTCGAACAAACGAAACATTGTTTGATGAAGTGTCAAGTCCCACAGGTGGTCACCTAAACGTTCGTGTAAAATACACATTGATTAGATCGTGTTATGTGCTGAAGTACACAATCCTACGACTAAGAAGCCTCTTTTCTTCAGATTTTACCAGCGAATCTTGCAAATACAAAATCGAGGAAATGAGAAAACAATAGGATCAGAGCCGTAGAGAGAGTTGCGACAACTCCGTTCACTCCAATGGACCAGTTTTTTACAGCAATGGCGGATCGTAGAGCCGCTCAATAGTTCCCGGAAGTTAGCATCAGCGCCGTAGAGATGCAGCAGAAGAGACCGCTGTGACGAAGTTTTAAAAGGTAAGACATTTATAGAACAAAATTTTATATTATAAGCACACCTAATCAAATTACCCTGTGCATTAAAACAGATTATTATTAAATTATTCCTCACTTAATTAGTAGATTTACGGGATGTTATTCATTCTCTTCACGCAGTTTCATCCATCGTTGTGTAATTAAGGCTTTTAAAAGTGATTTTGCTGGTGGGGAGTTATTTAACAGACTTGGATATATTGCAAAGGATGCAGATGGACCAAAGTGAGAATGAAAAGTTTAATGTAGGTGAGCAGTCATTTTTATAATTTTCAAACTTTACATCGGCAAGCTTTTATTTTGGCAGGTTGCCGGCAAGTAAGTATACCTTCGAAGTATCTGATTGTTTATTTACTTTATGCTGTTTTAAGGCGAATCCTGCGATCCAGACCAGCTGTAACAGAACCCATCTGTAAGAAAATGAAATATGATGAGTCTGTGAATCAACCACAAGACTTTAATGAAAGCATGTATCCTGGTGTCAGGTAAAATACAAGGTTTTGATGCTGCAAAGATTCATCATATATTTCATAATCAATTACATAATTAATTGTAAGGTTTCCCTTCATTAGACTTCTGCAGTTTTATACATGTAATGTGGTTAAAATTTTAATTTTACAGCCATGAAGTCCTCAACACATTTAGCTCCAATCTGAAGAAAAAGTTTCAGTGTCTTTATGAGGGAACAGCAAAGCAGGGAAACCCAACACTCCTGAATGAGATCTACACAGAGCTCTACATCACAGAGAGTGAGAGTGGAGAGATCAGTAATGAGCATGAGGTGAGACAGATTGAGACACAATCCAGGAGAGCAGCAACAGAGGAC